AAAGGAAAATCCTAGCCGGAGCAAGAAGAAGACAGGTTGTCTTATCACCGAGCCCCGTCACACAAAAATTTACATGCACAATATATGATAAAAGTCAAAAAGACAGTATAAATACAAAAACAAAAACAAATCAAAAACTTCAGCTATAAAATAATTTGTTAACACTCTTCCAGCAGAATAATTTTAAAAATAAAAAAGTAAAAACGACAGAAAATCATAAAAGTTATAAAAACACACACACAATAAAATGCGTTGTTTAATTAAAAAAAAAAGCAACATATGTAAACATAAGTATTTGGGCTGATTATTTAATATCTTCAAAAATAGTTATCTTTTATACTAATGGTTTGAAGCCATTTTAATAAAAGCCAAAGAAAGTGATAAAGATTGAATTTATTTTTAAGTGATTTAGTTTAAACCTTTAAATTGTTTTCAAAAAAGGTATTTGAAATCTAATATATCGAATTCCATGTTCAGTAAATGCTGTTTTAAATCATCCTTTAAAGTTTGCAAAGTGCAGTTCAAACGAAGTTTTGTTTTTTACTAAAGATTGGAAGAACTTTTTTCCAAACTAAAGGTCCCCGATATTGAATTTGGTACGAACTTAATTTAAGAAGGTTTATGGGAACCACAAAGTTATTCACAGAAAATTTGGTTGGATATTTATGGGAGATTTAATTAAAGTAGGATTGAAATGTTACTGGAGGAAACCCAAGTTTTGCTTTAAACGTATAACTATATTATCTTTTACTATAACTATATTATCTTTTACTTAGTTCTTATTTTATTATCTTATTATTTAAATGTTAAAAATTTTATTGTACAAGGATTTACTAAAATGTTTAAGAAAAGAAAAAAAAAAAAAAGGTTTATCAATCTTTTATTAATACAATTCAGTTACGCAGGATAAATGCAAGGGCGGATCCAGCTGTTTTAAATAACAGCTGGATCCGCTAACTTCCCGATATGGAGCTAACATCATACACTTATATGTTTATACTCATATCAGATAAGGATGCTTTGCGAAAAATTGAGGAAAATACTAATTTTGTATGGTCATAACTTTTGAATGTTAAGAGTTGATCGTATGAAATTGAAGTTTTTTCGATGAATATAACTTTAGTTGAGAAAAATAATTAAAAAAAAACATTTCATCAACTTGCTGCTCTCACGTTTGGGGTAAATGTGGCCAAAATTTCAGTGATTTTTGGTTCCTAGACTCCAGCCATCGTAATTTTTTTCAAAACATCATTATTATTCATAATTATAAACATATAAGTGCTTGGAGTTTGCTCCATAACTGCAAGTTATTTTTCTCAAATGTCAAAAAATGCTGCACCTTCCCCTAAAATGTGTTTGATTACTAAATTCTGTCTTAGTATAAAGATTAAACGTAAAAATTATTTTGAAGAAAAAATAGAATATTTTATAAATAGAATGAAAAATTATGAATCAAAGTAACTCGTAATATTTCTTCAGAATATCATTTAAATAAATATTTGCCTTTTCAACATTTTTTGAAGGCGTTTACAGACCTTTATTACGCGTAATACAATAACGCCTTTAGATGGCTAGTTGTTTCTGACACGAAAGTATGACAAAAGTATCTTTTAATCAAAAATGTGTAAATTGCTCAAAACCAACTGCTTGATTCATAAGGAAATTATGAAAAACATTATAATTAAGGACAGTTTCTGCTCGGATTTTTTAAAGGCAACACGTTTGTACTGGACTTATTAACATGAAATAAAAATATTCTTTAATATTCCAACTAATATAGTGAATTTTATTACCTAACTTAATCATTTAAATTAAACCACTACTCTAAACTACTCGTCTCGTCTTTTTTTTAAACTTGAACTATCAATCTGTTATTATATTTTTAATTGTTGGTGAAATCCTCTTAGTATCATGTAGGGTACGGTGTATCATGTGTATCGGTGTATCATGTGGGGCACGTTGTATCCTGTGTATCATGTAGGGCACCGTGTAAAGCTTTTGTATTAACTACATTACATTTTTGCATTAAGTAAATGAGATTTAATAAAAGCCAAATATTCTGAGTGTACACACTATCTAAGTGTCCAAATGTGTAGACTTACACACTTACAAAAAAACAACGTATATTTGTTCAATCGCTTTACAATGGAAACAATTAAAATTGGGGTGGATCGGTTTTCACAAAAAAAAAAAAAAAAAAATTTAAATAAATATTCCTGAGACACGAATCGATGTCTATTAATTATAAGATGAAAGTAAAAAAATAATTTTTGATTTTGATGAGATCTTGAGGTTTCTCTTTAGATTCTAAATCCTTGACGGATCCTAATATTTTTTAATTTTTTTTTTAAAGTTCTGAACGAAAACAAACATTATATTCAAAATAAGCGTATTATTCTGCTTCTTTTGAGTACCAGGTTGATATAGTTTAGAAGAAAAAAGATTTCAACAATATTAGGATCCGTCATAAATTTAGAATCCAAATAGGAACCTCTAAAACTTATTTAAATTAAAAAAAATAATAAGGTTATTTTTTTACCAAAAGACATCGATTCGCAGCTCAGGCAAATCAAATTTCAAAAATATTCAAAATCGTTCCACCCTACTTTAAATGTTTATTAAAAGCTTCCGATGACGCTGCGGGTTTAGAACAGCGAAAATCAACATTTTGTTTTTATTTCAAATAGGTGAACTCTAAAAAATAACAACCCGAAAATTTTTAATGTATTTTGTCTTTTCTATTGATATCTAATGTTTCTCAATCCGAAATGCATTATTTTACAATTATCTTAAAAAACATAAGTTTTTTTACCACTTTTGAAGTTCTGTATAACTAGGCTAATTGTGAGTGAAATTTTATAACCTCACTGAGCCAACTTAACATGGAGTAACTAAACCCACTTAACATGGAGTAACTGAGCCGACTTAACATGGAGCAACTCTGTAAAGGCTCAAGAATCAGAATCATCTTCTCTCATACCAAACCACCCAAATAAACGTTAACAATGTCCTTATAATTCTTTAAAGTTGTTTGTTTAATCATAAAAAGCTTTTTTATTTTAATCAGCCTCCAAATATTTTCTTTTCCCAATGCGTAAAGGAGATAAATGTAAAAATTATAAAAGAATTGAAACATGACAAATCGTAATTACTTCTCCAAAATTTTCCGTAAATTAAATAAAGTAAAATGCAAAATTGTTCTAAGATATAAAAATACATAAATATTGTTTTACTAAATTTCGTTTTTTGAATCTTTAGAATTCTTCAACTCGTTCTTTAAAAGTCTTCTTCCGTTAAACGTTCTTTAAATGTCTTTAAACAACTTTGTTGAACAACTTTAAAAGTCTTGCTTTAAACAACTTTGTTGAACAACTTTAAAAGTCTTGCTTTAAACAACTTTGTTGAACAACTTTAAAAGTCTTGCTTCAAACAACTTTGTTGAACAACTTTAAAAGTCTTGCTTTAAACAACTTTGTTAAACAACTTTAAAAGTCTTGCTTTAAACAACTTTGTTGAACAATCTAAAAAAACAACAAAAAACATTTAATTAAAAAGAAAAAAGCTTAAAAAGGCTAAAAAGTAAATAAATAAAGTTCTCAAGTTAATTGAAAGCTCTTTAATTAAATAAATATTTTAGTTTTAAACATCTTCCCATCCAACAAGGCTGCAAGAAATGAGAAATAGCTACAACTATTTGTAGCATATATCTCAATTTAAATATCACACCCCTCATATGCAATATTTTTGAATAATATATTCCTCTAAGTAATTAATAAAATATTACCAACTATTAGTATAAGGTATCTAGAAAATTCCCCATGAGTAATCTCTCTATAATGCAATAAGAAACTATGTATTATATTTAGAGATTACTTTAAATTAGTGTTATTACAACTTTTAAATAATTTGAATGTCAATTAAACCAACTAATATGTTTTTTAAAGTCTACTAATATCAACTAATGCATTTTTGAAATTTTTGAAACAAGGCAACTCAAAGTCAATTTAGTCGAAATATAGGGATTTTATTTTTTGGAATAAAATTGCAATACGAGTAATTCTAATTCACTTTTTTATATTTTGAGATCATATCATTTAAATATTGACAGAACAAAACAATATGAGAGCAGGGCCGCATTCAACATGGCAACAGGGCCAATGAAAAACAGTTCTTAATGATTTAGATTATTAGCCTACTGACTGAATACTTGCTAAATATCAAAAAATCTATGCAATCATATTTTTAGATTTTAGAGCTTCACAACTTAATTTTGCCCCAGTACCCCAAGTCTTAGTTAAATTTTGCCTTAATACTCCAAGTCACCTCGTACTCCAAGTCAGCTTAGAAGGGCTATTTATGAAAATTTATTTATGAAAGTGTTTCTGGAAATCATAAGAATAAAAAAACAAATTGTTAAATTACATAACCAGAAGTTTGAATTAGAATTGGTTATAAAAGTTATTAACATGGTATGAATCACATAAACTTTAAGATATAAAACAAAAAGCTAGGTTCCTAAATGGACATATGGTTGATAAGAAATCCATTATTTTGACTATTCAAGTTTTATAAGTCAATTATTTTCGCTTTCAACTAATCAACTTTTAATAACATTACTAAAATATCACTTGTTATTTACTTAGGTTTATAAAGTACTACATCCCCGTAAGTAACTTATACAAAATTGTATAAGTTACTATTTGTACTTGGCATTTTAATTATTATATCCCTCTAGTGAATCTTTGCATATATCACATACCCCTACATAATCTCCAAATTGACCGCAGGTTAAAACTCTCCCCACTCCTGATTTTTTTGCATTTAATTAATCATATGCATTAGTAAACACAATTTAAGTTGTCAGAAAAATCTGAACTAAGTGCTAAGTACATATTTTTCAAAATTATAACATAATTTTTCGCTTTTTGATTAAAGTCAGCCATTATGGTGGTCAAAATAAACCATCAACATTTATTAACTTTGTTTACAAAAAACACATATAACAAATAAATATATAACACATATTATATTAATGCTACTGATTATTTAAATTAAAATTAACTTCAGCAGATTTTAGCTTTTTTCCATAACTTTTGTGACTTATAGTTCTTTTATAGTTCACCCAAGTTTTTTTAAATTTGTGGTGAACAGCTTCACCACATTGTTCTGCATAGTTTCCTAAGCTAATATTATTGTGTTCTATAAAGGGAAGAATATGACACACTAAAATATGTATTTTCCAGTCAAAAATATTTTTTGCATATAATAAGACTTGATATATATACTTGATATATAGACTTGATTTTGCATATAATAAGACTTGAAAAAAAACATTTGAAGTCTTCGATTTTAGCAGAAATATCTGCACCCATTTCTAAACCAAACACTGCTGATTTTACTAATAAAAACTTACGCAAACAATTAATTATTGGTAAAATATCAATCGTTGCAGTTAAGGTAACATCCCTCTCCAAAACATCTAACAAGGACATAAATTTATTAGCATTGTTTCCATCTAAACCTACTCCATGGTATCCTATCATTAATATGTAATGTGTTTTTAACCAATTCTGAAAAGGTGGCCAAACGCATAAAAGCATAGTACAAAGTTTATCCACGACTCCCATCATAATATGGAGCTCAGGAGGAGGAACAATGTGTTCAAGAATTGTTTCTTGATTTTCTTTTAAGTATATTAAACGAGGATTTATAACATTTTTGTAATCCTGCATTTTTAGTCTTTTTTTTCCTTCACATACATATTGATCATAACATAAGTCTATGGAACCCAATGTTCTTAGTTTCCCTGCTTTGAGGGAGCATTCTCCTTCACAATAAAGACAAGCATATTTGCCAGAATGACTTGAAAGTCCAAAAACACTGTTTGCACATTTTAAATCAAATGCTAAACTAAAATCTACTTCTTCGAGTTTCAAAGGTTCCAATAATTTTTGGAGATTGCCATTATCCTCTGAAACCATCTCCACAATAGCAAGGATAAAACAACGTTTCACACCAGAATCTTCATACATTTCGGATGAAGAATAATGATTTTTTGGATCAAAAACATTAATAATAACTTTAAGGAAGTTTTGACCACCATCTATAGATATTCTTGCTATTGCATTAGGGATATCAATACCTCTTTCATCAATTATAAATTTGATAAATTCAGTTGTATTCTTGACATAAACTATATCTCTAACAACTATTTCATCACCGTCAAGGAATTCTTCAGTTTTACATTCATATAAAGTTTCTAGAGTATCCTGTAATTCAGTCATTTTAATATTAATGTTTGATTCTACACCAGTTAGATTACTGTGTAAAGTAGAACACAGTTTTTTAGTTTTGTTCTTAGAGAGTTCTAATACATTCGATAACTCCATAATAGTTTGGAATGAAACTTGATTTACTTTCTTTCTTTTCGACTTATTTTCATTTACTCCAACTGTAACAGAAAGAAGATTTCCACCAGTAGACAAAACGAACTGCTCTCCACTTACAATGTTTTCACATTCCATTTTACGTTTTAACAATCCAGAAGCTCTGCACCTTTATATCCAAGCGATTCACTAATATCAATTATATTGTTAACAGCTTTACTTTTGCAACAATCATGAGAAATTCCTCTACCTAAAAGTAATAGTGAGAAATTAAAAAACTATTTTAACAGTAGCTTGAAATTACGTAAAAAACAATAATACATTGAATCAAACTATAATGTAACATAAAGAGAATCAAACTTCAAGTAATCTTATTTAAATTATAAAATCATAGTACCAATCATAGTACATACCAAAATTCAAATAGCAGAGCCCACAGATTTTCTTATTCACACTTGAAAAATTCAATTCTGGCTCAACATCTGTCTGGATACATTGCAGTGAAGAGGTTCTCCTAATAGTATTTCTATTTATCTAAAATACAAATGTGCTTTATAAATTAAATCAGTGCTAATATATTTATTCATATATATATATATATATATATATATATATATATATATATATATATATATATATATATATATATATATATATATATATATATATATATATAGAAAAGGAGAAAAGATTGTTAAACAAATAATAATATATGGAATAATAATAGTAATAATACAAAATAATAATAATAATAATAAAGTACCAATAATATTAAGAATATTATAATAAAATATAAATTGTATGTACAAATCATAGATAATAATTAGATATAATAATAACATAAAATGTAACATTAATAACACAATAATAAATAAATATAAGATAGGTAAATAATAAATAAAATAAAAATCAAACCACTTGTTCGTTAAAGAGATTATATATTGAAGACAACTACAGTACAGAGAGAAATAAAGAAATACACTCCAACAATATATTTTAAAATTGAATTCTGTTGAGCAGTAAAATATTCATAACAAGTGGTTATTTTTTCTTAGACTTTTTTATTAATGCAGGAATACACTGGTTCCATTGAGAAATACATTGTTGTTTTATGGGAAACTTACCATATTTGATTGTGTTGAAAAAAGAATAGTATAGCTTACTATTTTCTGTATTCCTGGTGTGATGATTATGAACTTCGTTTGTTTTAATAAAAAAATTTGAAAAAGGGCTTGGTAGTTTATTTTGGAGAAAGTCAAACACAAAAAGACAATTATAAAACTTTATTTTTAGTTCAGAAAATTTTTTTTTGATATCAGATCTCATTGGCAAAAACGTCATTATTCTAATAGATGCGCGTTGTAAACTAGCAATGTTTTTAAGTAAAAAGTTTCTTTTTTGACCCCAAACAATACAACAATAGCAAAGGTGAGAAGAGAATAAAGAAAAATAAATCATTCAAAGAGTTTGGATAGGAACATAGTAACGAATTAGAGAAAGCATACTGTTAGCTCGTGTAAGTTTTTTTTTTTAGATGATACAGATGATTATACCAAGATTTTTCATCAAGATATATTCCAAGATACTTTATATATATTTTGATGGAAAAAGTTTTTTAACGTTAATTTTAATTTTAATATGATTAATAGTTTTTTGAGGGGAATGAAAAATAATGTATTCAGTTTTGTTGACATTCAAGGAAATACGGTTACTATTTAATCAGTTACATAAGCGATGAAGATCTCGATTAACTTTTTTCAAAGAGTCGTGAGGGATTTGTTGATATATAAAAGATTGGTATCGTCAGCATAATGATGTATCATAGAATTTTTTAATGAACAAGATAAATCATTTATATATAATAAGAACAACGGTCCAAGTACAGAACCTTGTGGAACGCCATATTTAATAACATTATGTGCGGATTCAAATCCATTAATTGAAACAAACTGAGTGCAATCCATAATATATGAAGAAAACCAATTATTAGTAATACCACATATTCCGTAGTAGTTTAACTTTTTTATTAGAATGTTGTGATCAACCGTACCAAAAGCTTTTTGAAGATCTATGAAAAGATTGAAACAATAAAAATACTATATATTTTAGGTTGAAGTTGTTATGCTACAAAAAGAAGTACTGTTTTTGATTTACATAGCACTAAAGCAAAAATCTTATTCCCTTTACATCAATGCTTATTTTCAACTGGAGTATCTATTACTGAAATGGATTATAGTATTTAAGGACAAATTTCAGAAAAAATGACATATACTAGATACCAAATACAAATAGTTAGCAATATTATTACAAACTATTTGTGTTTAGTATCTAGAATATGTCATCCCCCCTGTGTATTCTTTAACATTTTTTTACTTAATACATAAGGATTAAAATTTTTCAAGGATGAATATAAAGTATATTACCATTTCATGCTAATTATTAACTCAACGAGATAAACGTTTTTATCTCATTGAGTTTTTAAAATATTTTTTATGAACTTGAAAGTTTTGAACATACTTGATACACTTCTAAGTGCAATAAATAAAAGTGCAATCTTTTTTAAAACTTTTCTATAAAGGATGAGATACTTTAGGCCGATGAGATATTTTATTACAGAGCACTTCACATTAGTTAAATATAAAATAATGGTATTATACTAAATATAAGTGTATTATTTATAAACAATGCTATTATAGGCTTACATTTAATTAATGAAGAAAAACCTTGTTAAAACCTACCTTTCTGATATTTATAAAGCAATACCATAGTTTTTCTTCTCCACTTAATTGTTCTTTAAACATCATTACAAGTTGAATCCCAAAGATTACCCTTATATTGTTTCTGGTTATTTCAAACTCAATTACTTTTTTTTTATCATTATATTTTTAATTCAAACATATCAATAAAAATTTACAAACCTCATGGTAAATTAATGGAACTTGGTTAGGTGTCACTCATATAGTTACGAACTAGTCAACCTAAAAAATATAAAAATTCTTGAAAAAATAAAGAAAATATATATATATATATATATATATATATATATATATATATATATATATATATATATATATATATATATATATATATATATATATATATATATATATATATATATATATATATATATATATATATATATATACTCTTGCATGTCTCTTGCATGGCATCAAAAAAAGTTTCCCATAAACTGTAGTTTTAAAGATCGCGTTAATAAACCAGACCAGAAAAAGTTTAAAAAATTAAACTTTTTTTTTAAATTGATAGACTGCCTGGCCAAACCAAACCCTCAGTCGATGTAGCAGCACTCTCTTGCGAGTCAGGCTATTTGTCAGTCGTTGTAGCAGCACTCCCTTGCGAGTCAGGCAATTTGTCAGTCGATGTAGCAGCATTCCCTTGCGAGTCAGGCTATTTGTCAGTCGATGTAGCAGCACTCCGTTGCGAGTCAGGCTATTTGTCAGTCGATGTAGCAGCACTCCGTTGCGAGTCAGGCTATAAGATAGTCGATGTAGCAACATTTACGCATGTTTTAAAAATGTTTTTTATTAAATCAATAACAAAAACACCACTAATTAAAAAAAACTTTCTAGTCGTTATAATTGCGGTTTTTTAAAAAATTTTTAAAAAACAATTAAATTTAATGTACTTCCGCATAAATTAATTGCTTTGACATTTCGATGACAATCAAAAACAGCTTAAGAGATGAGGTAATTAAAATTAAAGTCGTAAGAGACTTATTTTACATTAAAACGCTCTTTAAGCTACACTATATGGGTATATATATATATATATATATATATATATATATATATATATATATATATATATATATATATATATATATATATACATATATATATATATTTTTGCATATGCAACACAATGATCATGTGAAAAAAAAGTGACCAACGGAGCCGTCCAGTTACGTAGACCTGGGAGATGTGAAAATAAAAACAGATTGAAGATGATGTCATTCAGGTAAAAAAACATAAATTAATGTAAAGACTTTTTTTTTTTTTTTTTTTTTTTATTTGCATTCACTCCCAACAAGGCTGCAAGCAACCACTATTAAGTTGGGAGTTACTAGGAAAAAAAAAGAACAGAGTTATAGAGCAAGGAAACGGTTGACAGAAGACTTAAAAAGTTGAAGGTTGTATGAGTCAGGAAAACATGAAGATGGGAGAGAGTTCCAAAGGATTGAAGTGCGGGGAAAAAAACTAGATGAATAAAAGTTTTTAGAGCATGCAGGGACAGATACAGAAAAAGAATGAGACTTAGCTGAATGACAGTAAAACGAGAATGAATTTTAGTTGATGGAACTAGAGATGATAACTCCTTTGAGCAGTGACCATAATAGTATCTGTAGAAAAGAGAAAGAGATGGAACTTTACGACGATGGGAAAGAGGTTCAAGCTTAGCAGATAGTCCAGGTCCAACAACATTTACAATGCGTTTTTGGACCTTGTCAAGAATAGAGAGTGAATCATTAGAAGAACCAGCCCAAATATGACAACAGTATTCCATACAGGGACGAATAAGAGATTTGTAGAGGTAGAGAATGGAATCAGAAGTAAAGAAATGGCGAGCACGATAAAGAGAAGCAACCTTAGCAGAAGCTAATTTAGCAATCGATTGTATATATGGTTTCCATGAAAGGTCAGTAGTAAGCGATAATCCAAGAAGACGTAAAGAGGACGACTCAGTAAAAGAGAAATAAAAACTCAGGAAAAGAGAAATAAAAACTCTCACTCTAGTCATCTTTTAGCAAATGATAAAACAATGATCTATGAGTTAACAAGTCAATAAAAATCGGCTAGTTTATAATGGTATTCATAACTGTTCTAAATAATGGTATTCATAATATGTTCTAAAGTCTAGATAAAAAATTAAGAACTGATAATCACCTGTGTAACAAATAAAATATAAAAATATATAAATGTCGTAATAAAAATATATAAATGTCGTTAATGTAACAAATTCATGATAAAAAGCTCACAAAGCGCAAAAATACATGGGTTTAAGAGGTAAAAAAATGTTGGTGCCATAATAACCAATTAGAATTAAGTAGTAGATAAATGGTGATCCCCCTCCTCAGGAATGCACTGCGATCACCAATGATGTTTCGCAGAACCCGAGACCTGCACTAACGCCACTCGTCAGGGGTGTGTCCATGCAACAGATCTCACCGCCTGCACACTTTTTTAAAATATCTTCGCTTCCAACAAAGCTGCAAGCTACCACTAATTAGGGTTGGAAGTTACTGGAAGAGAAAAGATGATGATTGCAGAGCAAGATAACGATTGACAGACAACTTAAAAGATTGCAAATTATATGAATCAGGAAAGCAAGATGAAGGCAGCGAATTCCAAAGAACTGATGTTCGAGGACAAAAACTAGACAAAAAAGAAACAGAAAAAGAATGAGACCTAATTGAATGACGAGTAACACGAGAATGAATTTAAGTAGATGGCACAAGAGACGTTAGCTCTTTAGAGCAGTTCCCATTATAGTATTTGTAGAAAAGAGAAAGAGAAGCAACATTACAACAATGTGACAGAGGTTGAAGGTTGGCTGCAAGAGCAGGTCCAACTATGTTTACAATGCGGTTTTTGCACCTTGTCTAAAAGAGAAAGGGCATCATTAGAAGATCCGCCTCAGATATGGCAACAGTTTTCCTTACAAGACCTGATTTGAGATTTATAGAGATAGAGAATAGAATCCAGAGTAAGAAAGTGACGAGCTCAATAAAGAGAAGCAAATTTAGCAGATGCTAATTTTGCAACAGATTTGATATGAGGTTTCCAAGAAAGATCAGAAATAAGAGTTAATCCTAGAAGAAATTATTGCGATAACGATTGGCTGAAAAAAAAAGAGTTTTATCTGAATTAAAGTTTACCAGCCATTGTGAGCCCCATGTTGTAGCAGAAGTGAGATCTTTTTCAAGCTCAGATGCCCCCTGCAAGCAATCAGAGGGAATTGGCTTCTTATCGTGACAAGAATAAATGGTAGTATCATCAGCGACCAATGCCACTGTATATATATATATATATATATATATATATATATATATATATATATATATATATATATATATATATATATATATATATATATATATATATATATATATATATATATATATATATATATATATAAGAGAAAAAAAAAGATTGTTAAATAAATAATGATATATATTAAATTATAAATAAAATACAAAATAAATACTAATAATAAAGTATCATTATTATTAATAATAAATATAATACGATAAAAATTATATAATAATAATTAAATATAATAACATAAAATATAGCAATAATAACACAATAACAGATATAATATAGATGAATAATAAATAAATTACAAATCAAACCACTAGCTTGTTAAAGAAATTATATAATAAAAACAACTCCAGTACAGAGAAAAATTATAAAGAAACACACTCCAACAATATATTTTTAAATTCAATTCTGTTGAGCAATAACAAGTTAATATTTTTTTTTTAGATTTTTTTTATTAATGCAGGAATACACTGGTTCCAATGAAAATACATTTTGTTTTATGGAAAACCTACTATATTTAGTTGTGTTAAAAAAAAAAGAACGTAGCTTCTTTTTTCAACAATTAACTATTTCCATTAGACAGCTTTTAAACTATTTAAAAAAATATTAACTGCATATAAAAACTGACAATGTTATAAATGGTATAAATGATGAACAACATTATTTATATCGCCAGTCAAACCTTATGGCTTATAATGCAGAAAATTAAATTAAATAATTTAAGTAAAAATAAAAGGATTTATACACAAAGTATTACATTGCTTACATATTCTAGTAATTCTGCTATTTATTAGTAAATAAAAACAAAGTAAATATTTCTACCAGGTCTGGTTGCTAACTAAATCCCAACTAGAATGGTTGCATCAACAAACAAAAAAATAAGTTAACAGTACTAAAATTGAATAAAACATTTAACATAAAATAAAGAGTATTAAAACTTAATAAACATCGTCCATGTAAAAAAATGTTAAAACGCCAAACATATTTATAAAAACTAAAATCCTTAAATAAAAATTAAAAGATAGTACTAGTTATCTTTTGTACATTAGTTATCTTATCTTATCTAATCTTATCCGATACACTGCTTATCTAAGCTTATCCAATACACTGGTTATGTATATTATATCTATATAATAATATTATATCAATATATATATATATATATATATATATATATATATATATATATATATATATATATATATATATATATATATATATATATATATATATATATATATGTATGTATACACATTATACTATACAATATTAAATATTATATCATCATATCACTGGTTATGTACCTAAGCTTATTTAATACCAGGGTTGCATGGTTTAAACCATGGTTTAAACCAATTTAAAAAATGTTGGTTTAAACCAAACTAATGTTTTTTTAAAAAGATTTGAACTTACAACAGGAAACTAAGACAAGATTATGTTCACAAATATAACTAATCTTCAATATAGATATATATTATCAATATGCTTCATCCAGGATACACTCTACCTAATAGAACAGAAATTGGGGGAGAAATATTAGAGAGTTTACACAGAAGAAATTGAAAAATGAAATGTATTGAATGGGTAAATTGTAGCCATGTCTTTAGATGGCTGGAGTAATATACATAATGAACCAATAGTTTGTATCTCTGTAATTACAGATAAAATTAACATTTTAGTAGAAACAATCAATACTTCTGGTCATTCGCATCCTGGTGAATATCTTACACAATTAGCAAGAGAAGCAATAGATTTTGTAAGATGTAAATTTGGATGCACAGTAAAAAGCTTTGTGACTGACAATGCAGCTGATGTGAACTCAATGAGACAACTATTGTTATCTGAAAGAGATATTGTCATAACTTATGGGTGTGCTCCTCATATGCTGAATTTTTTAGCAAATGATCTTAACATTGAAAATGTGAGCAAGCATGTTACACTAATAAAATATATAAAAAATAATCATCAAGTTGGAGCACTATAAATTAAGCGGAGAAACAAAATTGCCACTTCCTACTAAAACTCGCTGGAATTCTCTATGTGATTCATTGAAAAATATGTCAACAAATGGACCATTATTTTTACAATGTTTGAAAAAAATTAAGACTTGGATCCCGTGATTGGTAAAAAAGTAAATGATATACAGATAAAGCGAAACACAATTGCAGTAGCTCTAGATAAGTTGCAAAGAGATTAAACAAAAATAAGTGACTCTTGAAATTTTTAAAGATTTGATGAACAGTTTATCAATTTTATCAAACGAAAAAAAAAAAAAATTGAATCTAGATACCTTCAGACTGTCAGTAATGCTCATTTCCTGGCAAACACACTAGATCCTAGATCATTTTCAGAAATATTGGATCTAATATTTCTGAAAACAAAAATGAAGCTGTCATGAATTTTGCAGAAATAATATTGGTAACAAATTTGAATAATATTGGTAACAAATTCAAGAATTTGTTACCAATGTTATTCAAATTAAAAGCCAAATCTACTATAACATAATGGATATTGAAGGTTTATTAAATGCACCAGCTTCTTGTGCTGGAATCAAAAGATTTTTTCAACTTTTGGTTTCGTTCATTCTAAGTTAAGAAACCGATAGGGGGTAGAAAACACTTAATAACAGTTGAAAAACCACTTTACACTTAATAACAGTTGAAAAACCAAAATATTTTTAGTAAACCAAATAAGCATTAAAAATCGAACTGATTCAATTGACATACTTGTTGGCTAGAATAAGATAAATATATGGATTTAATAATGCATCATAATATGAATATCCAAAGACAGTATATAATAAAGACAGTGAAGGCCAAAACCAAGACTAAGACCAAGACATAATGACTTAAGACTTTGGTCAAAGTTTTTGGTCTTTACTTCAAGACCAAGACAGTTAAATACGAGTTTTTTTTTTTCCGAGAACAACATGTCCCTAGAACAACCTCTCTCAAAATATCATATTTTGATGCACTATCATTTATAAAGCTAGAATATTATAAATTGTCTAATACAAAAAGCATACATTTATCTGATAAGTGTATGCATACACTTATCAGATAAATGTATGTACTTATCTGATAAGTGTATACATACACTTATCAGATAAATTTATCTGATAAATTAGGCTGACCAGATTTTTTAAAAATAAAAAGAGTATATTTCTAATCAGGGCCAGCGCAAGTAGGTATCACGTAGGGGGAGGGGTCGCTACTACAACTTTTGCCTACTAAAAAAAAATTTGACTGCATTAACAACATTCACAAACTGTCTAAATTTAATGACTTTCTAAGCATTTGCTGACTGACTGACAAAAAGGGTCAAACTTGCGACAAAATGAATAAAAAAATCATTAATGGGTATATGGTCATTAATGGGTATACAGTTAAAAATCTCATTATCATTAACAATAGGAATAGACAATGATTTAGTTCGATTAAGAAAATATATGTAAGCTTCCTTAAATTTGTCATCTGAAAATTTCTTAACATAAGTTAATTCATATTCCATGCTTCATTACAAAATCTTCCAGCCCACTTTTTCAAATAACCAACTTTTGTGGTATAAAATTTTACTACAACAGACGTTACATAATTTTTTTTTGTTTCTATTTAAATATATTAAACTAATGATATATTTTTAGCATTATATCTTCAATATTTATTAGAATTACACATGATCTGTAAATTCTTTTCAAGCTTTGCATGGATGTTACCTGCAGTTTTATTAGTTGATAAAGCACCAAAGTTTACAGTGTTATCTGCTGAAAATTCAATAACATTATCTTGTGTATTGTAAAAATTAATATTTTTTAAAATTATATTAGCTATTGTTTCTGCAATATTATTTAAAAGGTAATACAAGACTTTATTTTAAAAGCTGGTTTAACAACCAGCTTTCAAAATAAAGTCTTGTACTTTAAAAGTGCATGTGATGACTAAATATGAAGATATTATTTTTTTACAATACACAAGAAAATGTTATTGGATTTTCAGCAGATAGCACTGTAAACTTTAGTGCTTTATCAACTAATAAAACTGCAGGTAACATCCATGCAAAGCTTGAAAAGAATTTACAGAGCAAAAATCATTTCAGTGCAGAGACTTCCGCAATGGCGGACGCTTTTTTATAACGATTTTATAAATAAATTAAAGCAAAACAAAAGAAAGATAGAAAGAATGACAAAGAAAAAAATAATAAAATAAGAAAAATAAATATAAACAGAGTAAAGAAAAGAAAAAAGAAGGAAATGAAAAAGCAAAAAACAAACAAAAAACCAAATCAAACAAACTAACAACAAAAAAAAAACATAAAAAGAAACAAGAAAAGAAAGTTAAATGAAAAAAACATTCCAAAATGAAAAGTAATTAAAAGCAATTAAAATAAAATATAAAAATTGCTCTATTTTTGAAGAAACGTAAAAGAATGTTTTTTAAATTTTATTAATATCGAGGGACGTTTGTCTTTTTCGTTGTTGTTGTTTTTTGTATTCTTGTGTATTGTTAATTGGGCATTGTAGAGTATAATTCATTTTGTTATATAGTTTAGTGCGTTGTTTGCATCGTATGTTTTTTAATTTAAATGTTTTTAATTTTATGTTAGTTAGACATTTTAAAAAATGTATATATTTTTAAAGCTGTATATGTATATGTATCTATATGTACATGTACACATAGCTATGAGAGCATGTACACGTGCATGTGTATTTATGTGCAAATATGTGTATTTATGTATGTTGGTAAGTATGTGTAACTTTATATTTCTGTTTGTGTGTGCATGTAACAATATTAAACTTTCTTATTTTTTAATGCTTTTTTGTTTTTCTTCATTTTATCTTTACTTTTTATCACGTTTTCGGTAATAGTTTTAAATCTTTTAGTTCTAAATATTTATCATAGCCACAATTATTACTATTTTTATCTTTACTACTATTATTATTCATATTTTATTATTTTCAATTTAAATAAATGTTATATGTTCTTGTTATTTGTTATGCTTTTTTAGTCAATTGTTTGTAACTAACTTATATGTATATTTAACTATTGTGTTTATAAAAACAAGTGACTTATTAGTTGATTATTTTTTCAATTTAATTAATATTATAACTTTTATTGATTTTGTTTTTTTATTATTATTGTGGTTAATTATTCTTATAATTATTATTCTTATAATTATTACTAATTATATATATAAAGATTTATATTTTTGGTGTTTACTTGATATTAGTAGAATTACTATTTGTAAATATCCATGAAGTTATTTTGTATAATATATATATACATATATTTTTTTTTTGCAGAATATATATATATATATATATATATATATATATATATATATATATATATATATATATATATATATATATATATATATATATATGGATCAAACCACTTGTTGGGAACCTTTATTTCAACAAATTTTTGGACTGATTTAAAATTAAATTGTTAATAAGACACTGACGTTTTCCACATGTGATCTTATAATTACAGGATTTTCTCAAAAATTTGATGTGCAGTCCTTATCTGTAAACTGTAAGTTTTCATCATAAGCAGCTAAATCGTAAAAGAAAAAAAAAGATTCTAGCTTTCATTTTAAAAAAACTGATGAACATTTTTTATGTGTTTGTAATGCTGCGTGTTCAATAATATTGCATTAGCCTTTAATGACTATAGAAACTGTTGTTACAAATAGTGCAGAATGTATAAGTTTCTTCAAATATATCTAAAAATTTGCACTCTCCTTGAGAAAATTTATAAATTTAACTTGTCTCATTGCATCCACAAGTTTAAATTGTTTTCATGGTAAAAGAAATATTAGATTAGAAAAAAATACTGCTTAGCGCAATCATTTATTATTAATTGTTTATTTCAAATAAACTTCTTAAATTTTAAAAAAAAGAGTATAACTTGTGATTTTTAGAAAAAGATTTTTATAATCTCTCTTTAGAAAAAGAGAGATTATATTTATATTATAAAATTTATTATATTCTAGCTTTATAAATTCTAGTTATATTTCACTTTAGACAATTATAGATGTTGCAACATCTGATAATATCATATTATGATGCATTATAATTATAGCTAGAATATGAAAATTTTTAGAGTATAAAATGCATATATACAATTTATATTATAAAAATTTTCATATTCTAGTTATATAAATTATTATGCATCATAATATGATATTATCAGATGTTGCGACATCTGATAAAATCAAAATTTATCATATTTATGCAATTGCAAGAAGTACAACAGTAATTACAATTGTAATTACTGTTGCAAGAATATGATAAATTTTATTATATTCTACTGATTGCAAGCATGCCTAGTTATTTATATCTTTAAGCTTATTTTAAATTATATTAGATAAGATTAATTATAAAAAAAACATAATTCATAATCTTATTAAATACAGAAAAACAAAAAATATTTATTCCGCAAGTTATTGGAAATGATTCCAACCCTACGAGTTAAACGCGCATCTCTAAAACCCAATTGTAACAATAGCTTTGAAAAAAATCAACTATTGTTCACTCATAAAAATTTCCGCTTGAAAATTCCATAGAATTTCGATGGCTTTTTCATAGAATTTCATAGGATTTCTATGAAATATTTCGTAAGGCTGGTTTAAAATTGGCTCGTCGTATTATCGTTATTGATTCATTTCAAGAAACCTTTCTTTTTTTAAGCTTTTATTTAACTTACGACGCTTGTTTTGCTCTATATCTTAAACAGATATTAAAAAGAAACTTGATAAATACCTTTATTATAGAATTGTATACTTACTTATATGGGAAAAAACTTAATTCTAAAGCATTGAAAGTTATAATGGCATTTAATGGATTCATCATAATAATAAATATACTTTTTTTTGGCCTACGTCAAGTTCAACTCCAAGGTAAAAAATTTAAACTTTTTGTTTTACTTTTGTTTTGTAACGAAACCGATATTTTATTTGTCCATTTTAGAATCAGAAGTTTTTTAATTCGTCTAATATTTTAATAAATGATAGACTTCAGTGGCGATCCAAGGGTAAATGGCGTCCATGGCAAATACCAATCCTGTTGCCCCCTTAGACGATAATTTACTTTTGTGTCGTTTTTCTGAAAACAACTGGGCAAATAAGACAATAAATTGAGTTGTTTTGGGGTCATTTTGAAAAAATTGGGCATAATTTTTTGCATTTGAGCACAATTGGGCAAAGTTGGCAAAAATTGAACATTATTTGGCATAAAAGTATTATAGTGCATTGAAAATTTATTTTTCTTGCATTAGCTGACGTAAACTGTTTAATTATTTTATCAAATTCAATTTTTTCAGTCGTTTTTTGTTTTATGCGTAGTCACATAATTGAATAATATTGTTTTCATTTTTTTCTCTTTTTTTTCACTCTTTCTCATCCACATCAGAGCTGTAGACTTTCCTAAATTTTTTGCAACGCTTTTTCATGCAGATAATTTCGGCTTTATAACTCATGTATACCACTTAAAAACTCTATATAATAAAAAAATCCAATTTTTTCATCATTTTCTTGCAAACGAACGCTTCTACTTTTAATTCTTAAAATAGACTATCAACAGTTTCATTCATAACTTTTTCCATTTTTTATTTAGCAAATAAACCAAGGTCTCTCAATGTTTTGCCATCTAATTTTTTCTTTCTTCTTTGCCGTTTTTCAAATTCAATGTTCCGTTCATTGAAAATTCAAATTCTTTCTTTCAGAGAAATTCGAATTCTTTTTTTCAGTGAAATTCGAATCCTTTCTTTCAGTGCCAACTAATACTTTCATCATGAAAATTATGGAGAGCTTTTAAACTTATAGCTGCATCATGAAAGTTCATTTTAGGATCCTGCAGCCTCTTTCGAACGCGGTCAATAAGACCTAAGAACTAAGATCTTGTTCCAAAACCCTAGCAACATCATAAAACTATATGGTAATATTCGGTTATGCAGTTGCTCTGCGTTTCATTTGGGCTCCAATAGTTCTGCTTTTATCTTCCATTATACTCAGGAGAATTTCCACTATTTTCTCGTAATATTTGAAATTAAGTTTTATTTATTATTAATCCCGTTTTTGCGCACTACCTGGTCGCAGAGCCTTTAAAGCCACCGGCACAATAGTTTAGAGCTTTTCCTAATGTTGAATTGAACGAGTGAAGAAAACATAAAGTGCATTGATGGCTCCGAAAATTTTTTGACCATTACCTTTTAATTGGCTGAATGTTACCACAACTCACAAATACTGCTATGCTGTTTCTATTCAAGATTCTTAAATGAACATTAGTCTTTTGTCTAGCCCTAACAGCAGCTTTATCATAGCAATGTAACCAACAATCTTGTGTATTTATATTGTTTTTCTCTAACTGCTTCAATATTTCTTTAACCAAGATTGCAGCGTTTTTTTGGCTTAAGTAAATAAAACCGAGAAATAGTTTTTTAATCTTAACAGTTTTTTCTTCAAAAATTATGTCAACACATCTTACTACCTCAGACATTTGTTTAGCTTGAACAGGAACCTCGTCAAAAGTTAGTTCATAATAACTTGCTTTACGTATTCCTTCTTGTAAACTATTACGAACAGTGGATCCCATGATGAGAATAAACTTATTCTGAATTTTCGGTGAAAGAAGTGGGTCTAGGCTCTCCGCTCTATACATTAAATTTGCTCTCCGCAAATCTAATGTATTCTTTTATGACAGAGTCAAAATTAGAAATTAACTTCGGCAAATTTAGCGAAGTTTCTTTTTCTAAAATCTGACTGAAAAGGTTCTCTGTAGCCTCGAAAAGCCAGGTTTTGTATCTCAAGGTATTTAAAGCAGTGTAAAAGTCTTTTTAAAATAAAAACCTTTTCTGACTTTGACTTTGAATTTGCTGTTGAAGTTCTGCATTTATTATTTTTATGTTGTTAAGTAAACTTTTTTCCATTTATTTGCATTAAGTATAGCACTAATGCATACTCGACAATTGTCGATAATTTTTTGTATTTTCACGAACAACCATTCTGTCAGCCATTCTGTCAGCCATTCTGTCAGCCATTCTGTCAGCTTTCCATTGTTTAAATCTGCTTTTGTGCTCTTAATTAGATTAGGTTTTCAAACGGGAAAAAGGAAGACAGTAATTAAAAAAGACAGATCTTTGGAAGGTAAATAAACTAACCATAAACGCATCACTTGCACACCAAGACCGTTTCCCTTTTTTTTTTTAACCAAGATTTGTTTATAGAACAATTTTTAGTGGGCAAAAAAAGATCCTCGATGTTTTTATAGTACTTTGAACTGAGTTTTATTATTTCTACTCTCAACGCATTAGTTAAAACATAAAAAGACCGATGTCGCGTTCTTCAATCGCTCTAAATATTGAAATTTTGATATTTTTTGCGTTTTTGGTCATCAAGTTTTTATGATCAATATCTATTTCTTTGTCAGCCCCATTTTCTAGTACTTCAAAAGTAGCAGACTTTCTATAAATTGAATTTCCTGAAGACCTTGTCAACATATTATCAGATATCTTTTCTGCATCAATAGATGTTGTATCAAATTCTTTCTCGGATGAAATTTGTAGAATTTTCAGAAAATTTTAAAGACGTTTTAACCTGTAGTTCCTCTTTCTTTCTGCTTAAATGTTTCGATGTTCACCGTTTGTAGGTAACATTTTCTAGAGTATAAAAAACAGTTATATACAATTTTAAATTTGCGTGAAAAAAATATTATAACTCTTTCGTTTTCGCTAAGTGCTGGTAGCGGCTTTCGAGTTTCAAGTTTCGAGCTTCACAAAGCTTATATAATTATAAGTTCGGTTGTTTACCTTCCTATTGATTTAAAGTTTGCTGCAAAAAATCTTAATGGCTAGTAGCAAAAAAGTGTAACAGAAAACCATTAATGTTTTAATGGCTAGTAGCAAAAGAGTTTAACAGAAAACCCTGATTAATTGTTTTTTTTTAATAAAAAAACGCAAAATAAAAATTTAAAACTAAGCCGCCGCGTCGCAGTGGTAAGGTACTTCCTTCGGAAACAACAGATCCGTGGTTCAAATCACATCTCTAGGGAAGTTTTGTAACAAAAACAAACAAACAAACAAAAAAAAAAAACATTTGATTTAATGTAAATATTCTTTAAGAAGTACATGATTTAAAAATTTCACTTTAATGACCTATTTGGTGTAGTTTAAGACGATTTTTATATTCTTTGGATTTTTTTATTTGGAATAAGTTATGAGATACTGTAGCTGGAGGGAGAACAAAGCCGTCAATGATTTTAAACCAGATTTAGTGTTAGTTGTATAACTATTCCAGCGCCAAGTCAAAATGACGTTTTAGCAAAATAATAAAAAAATTTGAAATGTAACTTGAAAGCTTTGAAAGCTGTAATCAATGTGGACTAATGTCTTAAAAGTTTACAAATAGAATTTTAACAATTATTCGATTAATTAAGAAGTTAGTTTCCACAAAAATCACGATTAAGGTAAAGTAATTGTTTCTTGCTCACCTCAACTATAGGTATAAATATCAAAGTTTTATAAAATCTTTACTACCTGTTTAAACCTTTTTTTTTGCTTGCCTGTTCCTCCGAGGTTTTTAAAAAACTTTTAGAAGGCTGAGGTGTACTTTATTCACGGGGTCTGGGTAGAGCGGTATATATTAGTGAATTTCAATTAAAAAACGGCTAAAATAAATCATTATAAAATAAATCATAGGAGGTGTATTTGATTCACCCGTGAATCAAATACACCTCCACCCATTTATTAATTCGATTCTAATCTAGAAATTTATTATTATTCGTTAAAAAGCACTACATAAAAAATAACAACAATGTAACTCTAAAAATAGTCGGTAAAATGCGAACTGCGAACCGCGAACTGCGAACTGGTAAAATACAAACTTTTTTGCGAACCATAGTTCTATTGGTTGAAAATGATGTAATATTTTTTATTTTCTGTTTACAGTTAAATTTTGTTATTTTACTATATATATTATGGACTTGAAGGAGAAATATAAGTTATATTTAATTTAAAAGAAATACAATCTAATTGAAATAAAATCTATCAAATAACACTATATTTAATTTAAATTAAAAAACTGACGAGCAAATGCTTGTTTAAATATTTTAACCGTAGTGGTCATTAAAATATAACGTCTTGGTTCGCAAAAAAGTTCGCATTTTACTGGTTCGCAGTTCGCCGTTGCAGTACGCTTTGTTCCGAAAACCCTATTTCAAACTTTCATGTTTTATTTGCAGTACTTTAATTTGATATGACGTTTTAAAGCAATATCATTGTATAGTATTAAAAAAAACAACCCTAACCCTAACCCTGATTGGATAATGTTTTGTTAAAATTAAAATGTGATTGCCTTTTCAAAACTTTTTAATACCGCTCATAATGAATTTAAAGAATATCATTTTCAAATCTCTAGACAAATTGTGCTCATCAGCAGAGACGCCGAGAGGAGGGGGGCCTCTTAGCGGCCCTGCTGATGAACACAATTATCCCGATATCTAAGAGGCATTATATAATAGGTAGGTACCTTAAAGTAAAAGAAATAAAAAAATCCTGATTGGCGCCCTTATTTGATAATTAAGGGCGCCAATCTGGATTGCTATCCCAAGCGGCGTAACAGCTCTCGGCGGCCCTACTGATCAGTGCTAACTTGATTTTAGTTAAAACCTTTTGAAAAATTCGTTAACTCAGAATAGATCTTAACCGATCGTAACAGATCATATTATTAAACTGTGATATTCATTTCATCTAAACAACGCGTTTATTAAAAAATTTATTTAATTTTGGACAAGCAAATGTTGTTTTTGAAAAATTTAAAAAAAAAAAAAAAATTAATTGGTCTGTGTTTTTGCGCTACAAACAATTTTATTATATGTTACGTCAATATTTAAAAATTTTTATCACAAAATTTGTTACGTCAAAATTTAAAAATTATAATATATTTTTAAAATTTAAAAATTATAATATATTATTACGTCAAAATTTAAAAATTATAATATATTATTTAAAAATATGTTAAAATTTAAAAATTTTTATCAAAATTTTTTTTCGTCTTTTACTTTTTATCACGATATTTTTTAAAAATATCGTGGTCAGCAAAGTATCATACAGACGCTAAAATGATATATATATATATATATATATATATATATATATATATATATATATATATATATATATATATATATATATATATATATATATATATATATATATATATATATATATATATATATATATATATATATATATATATACATATATATATATATACATATATATATATATATATATATATATATATATATATATATATATATATATATATATATATATATATATATATATATATATATATACATGTAAAATAAAATAGGGAAATCATTTTTCGAATTTTTTCAAATTCCACATTTGTGTTTCATCAATAACGACTTATCAGAAATGCATTTCTTTACATACTTCTATATTTTACTTTACCTAAATTAATAGTTTTCAAAAACTGAAAAATTGGTTTTGAAAAGTTATAAAATATAGTTCATTTTTTAACCTTTACAGCACGTTAAAAACTTTTAAAGTGTGTTATTTGTGCAACGGTCACTGGAAGTGTACAGCGTAGATCACTGAAAGTGTAGAATTTATATATAACTGAAAGAGAACAAGTAAGACATTATAAGATCTCTAAAGCACAATAACATATTAGAAAAAAAGAAATCAGGTTTTAAATTTTTTTTTTGTTTTTAGTTACAATTCACTTGAATACACACTGGCCCTCAACAAATTTAAAATCAATAAAAATATCAGCAAAAACTGTTTGCAGATCCTTTTATAACTTTTTTTGTAGCTTACAAGTCTGTTGAAATTAAAATTCAAGCCTCTTGTCAATGATTTTTACCTAACTTTTAATTTAGTCATTAATTAAAAATATATTTTTTAATCTGGCATATCGTAATAGAAAAGACTGTAAATTATAAAGTTGTTATTATTTATAAATTATTTCAGCTATCTGCAATACTTTTGAAAGTTTGAAAATAATACGCAATAAAACTAAACTTTTGCATACTTTAAATCCAATTGGAATAATTGCTTAGTGAATAAGAATCAAAAGATGTAAAAAATTGTTTTAAAGTGTTAAAAAAATAAAATTGAAATAAGTAAAAAATAATAGAGTGATAAATGACTAAAAATAAATTCCACAACAGCTTTTATCAATCGTTTCACCGGTTTCCCTACTTCATTTTTGCCGTACAATTTAACGGAGAATGTCAGACAACTAAGAGACAGCACTTTCTCCGTAAATTTTACGGTTTTCGTTTTTTTTTTTTCCTTTCAAGTTAACGGAAAAACTCCGTTAATTCAGTAAACTCATTTTACAGAGTTTACACGAAAGTTAAAAAATGTTCAAGTATTAAGAAACTACTCGTATCTTAAATGATTTAAATTATAATATAATACGCATCAAGTAATAATAGTTATAAAAATATAAACAAATTATATTATACTAGCTGTCATAAATAAAAGACCCATAAATACAAGTCTTGGCAAATTTATTCCACAACGACATTTTCTAATGCTTATTCCTTACTTTAATATATTTTAGTAAGAGGTAAGTATAAATATATAACAGTAAGTGACGCTCTACGGGCAAATAATACGAGCTCTATTAAGATTAATAAGTCATTTGCAAAAATAAAAAGAACTAAATAAATTTGGTTAAATAATATTGTTATTTGTAACGTGATTAAAGTGAAAGTTGTCACGTAATAAATTATTTACTAAATTAATAATTTTTAAATATTGTAATTACCGTAATGATTAGTGTAAATTATTAAAAGTTTTCAAATGATTTAAAAAAATGGTATTTATAAAACATATAGCACCTATTCCGACTTTTTAGCATTAAATGGATTCTGTGGCAAAAAAAATTTAAGGAAGATCCACAAAGTAAGCTACGGCAGCTTGGAATAAATTGCTTCTATGCAACGCTGGGCATTTTCTTTAATAGGATTTAGCAGCCTTCTTATCCCTACTATAAATATAGATCTTTCTGTGCAATTCCAAGATATATATTTATAATAGGGTTTAATCTATATTTTGTTACAAAAGAAATTTTTCATATATTTAGACATCGTCTTGTTATTCTTTTCAGATCAAAATATTAACAAATTTGAATATTATATTATCACATTATTTGAAATCCATATCGAGTAAAGCTGTTAAAATTTAAAATATAACGAATATTAATTTAACTATATGATAATTTAGATTTTAGTAATCCATGCTCAATCAATCGTGGTGGATGCGATCAGAAATGTGAAAGCCTTTCGAGCAAAGTGATATGTTCTTGCTATTTCGGAAAGCTGCAACCTGATGGCAAAACATGTAAAAAAGGTAATCTTTTAAAATATATTTTATTTTAATTTTGTGAATAAAATACGAATTTGTAAGGTGCAAATCAAATCAAAGATAAACAATAAGTCCTTATTAGCATATTTTTCTCAATCTTTTAGAATTTACCAACGATTGGGCTATCGCACTAGATAACAATCTGATAACAGATGTTATATATATATATTACCCTTCAAAAGACATTTTAAAAACGTTTTAAATAAAAATATGACATGCGCAAGTTTTTAACATTGCATATATTTTGTACATTTTTTTACATTACATATTTTTTGTACATTTATGCCTTGTTTTTAATAAAAAATACTTTAAACACTAAACGTAATGATTCATTACGTTTAGTGTTTAAAGTATTAAGAAACCGTATTTGATTCATTACGTTTAGTGTTTAAAGTATTAAGAAACCGTAAATGATTCATTTACTCTTCTCGTAACTCCGGAGATCCCAGAAATATATTTCAACATTAAAATAATATTTGAAAAACTAAATCTTCAGAAAGTTGAGCACATTGAGGTATGCGGCATAAAACTTAGTCATATTCTGATAGAGATATCACCAAGTAGCAGTTCAATTTATTGCATCGTAGTGGATTAGAAGAGAAACCTGAACAAATGCTTCATACAAAACATTTAAAAGCTGTCATAAAAACAATAAAAAATTCAAAGATGGTTCAAAACCAAGTCTGCTCAACATTTTATGAATTGTATAAATCCTGTGTTAGTGCATAAGAACCTTAAATAAGTTCAAGCAAGCATTAACAGTATGAAGTTTTTACAAATTTCATATATATATATAATCCAAATATATATTATATAAAACAAAGTGAGATCGCGCGGATCTACTCACCAATATTTCATATGAACGTATACGTTAAGCTAAGAATATAAAATCAACAAAATAAGTAAGAACAAGTAAATGAGATTTATGATCAGTTGCATATTTTTAAGACTGACCAGCAAGGTAAAAAATTCTTCTAAAAAAGTCTAAAAAAGTGGGTGTGTTTAATGGATGCGAATCCAACTAAAGTTTTATAAAGAATGCATAAGGTTGTTAAATTTAGTTGTTGAGGCGGTCCCGAAGAGATTTTAATAAAAGGAGGGGGTGATGTATATGTTTTTTGTTGACTAAAGGCATAAAAAAAATATTTTTGCCCTCTAACTTATCTAAATGCAAAAAAAAAAAAAAAAAAAAAAGAATAAATTCTAACAAAATTTGCATTTGATATATGTTTTGATTATTTAAAACATGTCATTATACCCTCTTTAACAATATAATAAAATAAAATACCTTCATTTTCAAAAAATAAAATTCCTTCATTTCCAAAAAATTATATTTACTAAAAATTAAAATATAACAAATAATAATTTATCTATTTTCATGGGAATTTAGATTTTAGCGATCCATGCTCAATCGATGGTGGCGGATGTGATCAAATATGTGGAACAATTTTGGGTAAAGCGGTATGTAAATGCTATATCGGAAAACTGCAATCTGATGGCAAAACATGTAAACAAGGTAATCTTTTAAATATTTCATCTTAATTTTTTGAATAAAATATAAATTTGTAAGGAATAAATGAAATGGAAGATAAAGAAAAAGTATTAATCAGCATTTTTTTATATTTTATATAAATAAATAAATATATATATATATATATGTATATATATATATATATATATATATATATATATATATATATATATATATATATATATATATATATATATATATATATATATATATATATATATAATTTTCAAATAAATAACAATTTTTTTTAAACTTTTTATCAACATGTTTCATCAATATTAATTGACATCATCAGGTATAAAAAGTTAGTTGCAATTTTTGTATATAAACTAGGGTTGTTAACCGGAGGATTTCGTGCAACTCCGGAAAAACAACATTCTTTCGTAAGGAGATTGAGAACGAGGAATTACATTTTTTCGAAGGCCGTTTTCCACAAGACGAAATATTCGCGCGTAGCGAATATTTTCGTCGTTGAGCATGCGCAGATTAAACATTTTTGATATTTTTTTTCTTTTTTTTTTCGCTAGAGCGTTTCGTTGCTGCGAAAAAAAAAGTCGACTTTTTGCGAATCGCCATAAGCGAAAACCAATCAAGTTTTGAATATTATATCACGTGATGTCAACAGTAAAAAAAAGCGTTTTTAAAGTAACAAAAAACAAAATTCTTAACCTGGCGTTATTATTAAGTTTATATGAACTTACTCTGAAAATTGGCCAGCATGAGTAAATTCAACAAATAAGGAGAAGGACTTATATAAAAAAATGACAAGACTTATATATAAAACTTAATCGAGAGTTTACAAATATAAATTTTCACACTGTCAATTACGAAAGTTACACTTCATAAGAGTGTTTATCTTCAATTGGCCACACGAAGGTAAACCTTTTTTTGTAAAACCTTAAATAGAGTTAAACCTGCTGTTCGTTCTTGCAGTAACAGTTTTTAATGAAATTGATCATTTCAGAGTTTAGTATTTTCTTATACTTTCTTGTAAAAAAACCTTATGTTAAATGATTATTTTACAAAATGATATCACATCTTACATATAAAGACAGAAATGTTATTATTAATGCACGGAAAAAAATTTTCACATGCTTCAAAGTAGAAAGTATGCTTAAAAAGTAATAACTTTCTTTAGTTAAACATACAGCGTAAACTTATTGCTGCCATTTTTATTGTTGACAACGAAAAAAAAGTAACGCGAAAGAAAGTAAGTGGAAATCAAAACAGCGCACAGTGACTCAGTTCAATCAAAAAACGGCAAAAATTAAATAGAAATTGAAATAAATCGTAAATAAATAATGTTATATATTTAATCGTAACTAATGTTATATATTTAATTGTAAATAAATAATGTTGTATAAGTCAAAGATTTCAAATTTGTTATTAATTTTTTTTTAACGCGCAACTTCGACGCGTAAAATCCACGCTTACGCATTTTAAAGGTGACTATACGCGTACAAAATTTTTTTTTTAGTTGTTAGAATCTTTAAGACAAACACATAATTTTAATATATTTCTCTACTTGATATTTTTATAAAAATGGTTTTTAAAGGATGTTGATACATAGAGAAAAAATACTGTATTTTTTTACATTAAATTTATTATTTACATTACAATTAATTTAAAAACTTCATCTGGTAAAAGTTTTCCTCGATAGCTCTTATACTTTCTAAAAGATATGTTTGATACTTTTGGATCTGATCTTAATAGAAGGCAGTGCATCTGATTCATCATTGGGTTTAACTTTGATATTTTTGCCGTGTGCTTAAGTCTAGAATTTCTTATCTGTTTATTTAAACTATCTAGTGCAATTAAGTAGGACTTTGGGGCTATCCATAAATGATTTCAGTAAATATAAGGGGGAGGGGGTACTGAAAAGTGTAACAAAAATTACAATGGGGAGGGGTTGTTGAGACCAAAATAACGTCCATTTAAGAGAAAAAAATTCAAGTTTATTAGCCAAATTCACGTCAGAAACCTGGGTTTATTTGTAGGGAAAAAAATAAAAATTGTAGCTTTGTTTAAACCTTTTTAGTGTACCTTAAACCTGTTCTGTTTGTGTTTTTTATTCACAAAAAAGTTTAGTTATTAGCTTTAGCTATCCTAGATTTTAAAATGAAAAGACATTTTAAAAACGCAAAAGGGTAACCAATAGGATTTTATCGCCTTTCACTTGTAGAAGCTTTTTAGAACGAATACAAAAAACTTTTTAAAACAGTTGGAATGTATTGAGATCATGATCACATTTGATCACAATAAAACTTTAAACTTAAGTCACTATTTTTATTGAAAAAGACTTGAAATATAGATAAACAAAACTATCTATATAAAAAAATAGACGTCACACGGTTTTGTTGTTTTTATAACGCTACCATTTTTATTTTTTTCCCTGCAAACCGCGTTATATGAATTTGGCTAATACGAGCAGATTTTAAAAGTATTTACATCTACAATGTGGTATAGAAATAGCATATTTGCTTTGTGGGGAATTCGATGTAAGTTTTCAGGACACATGATATAAATAAAAAATTTACGAACGTTTTACTATTGTATTACCATTTGACTAAAAATCTAAGGGTTTACAAATTTGTATATAAATTTAACAATCATTACTCGATCCCAGCGGATTTTTAAATGTGCTTATTATCAAAGAACACTTCTCAAAAAGAGATCACGTGGATCTACTCACCAATGTTTTATATGAACGTATACGTTAAGTAAAGAATATAAAATTAACAAAATAAGTAAGAATAAGTAAATGAGATTTATGATCAGTTGCGTATTATTAAGACTGATCAGCAAGGTGGAAAATTTAATATAAATTCTTCTAAAAAAAATCTAAAAAAGTGGGTGTGTTTAATGGCTGCCAATCAATATAATGAGATTTATGATCAGTTGCATATTATTAAGACTGATCAGCATGGCTGCCAATCAATATATAAAGGGAAATCATATATAAAGTTTTGCCAAAAAATGACAGAGTTTGACAAAGAGGGGAAGAGGTTTAAAAATTGAGAAAAATTACAGACATCAGATATGAACAGCCCCTTTTACTAAGTTGGAAACCCGGTGGGAAATGAGCTAGCGACAAGCTAGTTCTAAAGTGATTTTTAAGCGATTTTTTTTTTTTAATTTTATTCTTTACTAATGTCTCTAACATCTTTAAAAACTTGATTTTTAGTGTTGTGTCTATTATAATTATGAGAATAATTGAACTTTAAACATTGCGATTTTGTAGCAATGTATCGCTAGCTACATATCGTAGCTTTGTTGCTAGCGACAAAATATCTACGAATCTATATCTGGTTGATAGATAGATACCAATATTTTTTTTTGATAGCGATTTTATTACGATTTGACGGTAGCTACAATTGCCTGCGAGTCTTTAGAACATTAAGCTAGCTGTCTTTGTAGCCAAATCGCTGTCTTTATCTTAACAAATATCGATAGCTTTTTGCTAACTTTAAAAGCTAGCGATCCTCGTGGCCATATCGCTGTTTTTATCGTAACGAGAATAGCTAGATATTCGCTAGCCAATTTCCCATCGGAAAGTTTTACAATTTTCCTTAAATGTTTTATAAATACCAAGAGCTACGCTTAACTTCGACATTCCCTAAGTCGTACTATTTATCTGTTTCCATTGAAAGTCCAACTTAACGGGACTTTACTTTATATATATATAAATATATATATATATATATATATATATATATATATATATATATATATATATATATATATATATATATATATACATATATATATATATATATATATATATATATATATATATATATATATATATATATATATATATATATATATATATATATTATAAAAAATATAGATTATATAGATTATAAAAAAATGTTGTTAAATGATTCTTCAAGTGTTTATACAAATATATCTTATATATATATCTAAATATATATATCTATATATATATATATATATATATATATATATATATATATATATATATATATATATATATATATATATATATATATATATATATATATCTATATATATATATATATATATATATATATATATATATATATATATATATATATATATATATATATGTATATATATATATATATATATATTTATATTTATATATATATATATATATATAATTATATATATATATATATATATATATATATATATATATATATATATATATATATATAAATATAAATATATATATATATATATATATATATATATATATATATATATATATATATATATATATATATATATATATATATATATATATATATATATATATCTATATATATATATATATATAGATATATAGATATATATATTTAGATATATATATAAGATATATTTGTATAAACACTTGAAGAATCATTTAACAACATTTTTTTATAATCTATTATTTAAACTGTTAATATCTTAAATATATCGTAACATAAATTTTTTTGGGTCTTTTTCGTAACTGCACCTTCGGTAACGAACTATTTCGCAAGTATTTTTACGAAATGATTTGTTTTGCTAGTTTTATTTTGCAATGCTTTATTACGGAACTTTATTTATTTATATTATCGTATAGTGAGTTACGGAATGTGCATTTTCGCATGTGCAACTTCCGCAATAACAATTGTATTACGGTAGATAGAGATGCGAATTTTGTTTTTCGGCGAACAGCCCTAATGTAAACAATTTTTTTGGCTACATTAAAAATTCAAAAGTTTTTTAAATGTTACTATACCAAAATCTCGCGCAACATATTTATTTATGCGTGATGATATCATTAAAAAATATAATAGCATTTTAATTACATAATAGCAGTTAATTAGTGCATAAAAATTTATGCTAAATATACTAATTCATTTTATCTCCACATAAAGTTGATTCAAAAAATATAAAGTAACTTTAACTTTACTGCTTACACCTAAGAAATCTTTAATTACGCTCATATTACATCTAAGAAATCCTTAGGTATG